GAGGGTTACGTCATCAAATTATATTTCCTTAATTATCTGAAACCACGTGTTTATTTCATTTTTACATTAACTAAAACGTGTTTCTATAAAACTAAGTAATTAAAAATCAACGGTAATTGGAATTAAAAAAAATTTAGGTATTTAAATGTAAAATCACTGAAGAAAAGGTACTTATTCGTGTAGGGCAGTGGTCGGCAAACTTATTAGCCAAAGAGCCAAATCTGAACATTACAACAATTTTAAAAAAAATTGGGAGCCAAATCTGCTTGTTTAGTAACCTTTTATTACACTAAATAAGTAGTACACTAAATAAAACTAAATTTCATACTTAATAAATATTTATTAATGCGAACAATGTGCTTGCATTTCCTTGGAAAGTTTGAGTAAGTCAGGTTTATATGTTGTTGTTTTTAATTTTAGGCATGATCCTCATCAATAAGACGACTTCTCAGTTTACTCTTGATAATGTTCATGCTTGAAAAAGATTGTTCTCATATATATGTAGAGCCGAAAAGGGAAAGAACAGGAAACGCGAGTTTTTTCAGCTGATCGTAAGAGTCAGGAATACTATTCCAAGCGTTGAAAATGATCATGTCTTCCTTCTCTAGGTCATTCAAAGCAGACCACTTGTGTTGTGAACTAAGATCAAATTTTTTCTTCTCCAATATTTCCAATTCAACACAAAGACGTTCGAATTTAGAGCGCCATATCTTCTTGTTTTTTAAATCCAGCAATTGTATTTAAAGCTACCAATGTCAATTTCAAAAAGAGAAAATTTCAACTCGGTTATCGTAGCATTAAGAGGATTTTTGACAAATGCTAAAGTTGCTCTGCTGTTTTCTTAGCAAGTTTTTTTAAAATTAAAATATTATTGCGCCTTCCGTGGATATTTGTGCCAGAGACGCACTTAAGGAGCCAAAGAGCCACATGCGGCTCTGGAGCCGCACTTTGCCGACCACTGGTGTAGGGGAACTGTAAAAAATCGCCATTGATGCTTAGTAAATTTTGGTACTAGGTACTACAGGTAGAATGGTAATTATTGCTGGTTATAGATACTAATGTAAGTGCAAATCATTTATGCACTAAAAAGAAAAATTAAAGGAGAAAAGGTATTTATTATTGTTTCCCACTAGAACAGGGAGAAGTTTTCTTCCCTTAATATTGTTAATTCACTTTTTTTTGAATTTTCTTCATCACATTTCGAGAATTTTTAAAGCGAATCAAAACTTTTTGGACATAATTATAAAATTTTTATATCCAAAGATAATACTAGGTAAAAATAATTTGTAATAACTTTTTATTATTTTGTTGAATAACGATCAAGCAATTCTGATTAATAAAATACATAAATTTTTACATCATAATTTTAGACTACGTAATTTTAAATGTCAAAATTTGAACAAAACCGTTCGAGTAGTTTTTAATAAAAGAAAACGTAAAACGGCTTATTTGAAAGTTTCAACTCAAAAATTATTCAACAATTGATTCGTTCAATTGTTGCTGTCACCAGTTACAAATATTGGGAGAAATTTGCCTTCGTGGAGGACTTTTTTGATGGAACTAACCCGCATTTGCGTCACATGAAGAGGAAGACCTCGAGAACCTCCCACGGTTAGCCTGGAGGCAAAGGGACTCTAACCCGTTATCCGTCTACCACTGAGGATATTTCACGTCAGCACTGTGGTCGGTGCAAGTCGGATGCGGATTCATANGGCGCAACCTAAAGGCTTGATAAAATAAATATTACAGCGGATTCATATCCACCAGCCATCACCCGGTTTATCTCAATGGAAGGCGAACGCTCTATCCCCTGAGCCATCGCGGCTTAAATATTAATCTGTAATTCCTAATGTGTATAGAAAAGGGTTTTAAAAACTTATATTAAGAGTAGTCTATTATGTAACACTCTGTATGTTGTGATAAGAGCATATAAAAAATTTAAGTCCAGTTCAGTTTTTCTCATAAGAAATTTTATTCTTTGAAACTGAATTAATATACAATTTAATATTCTTAAATCATAATAGTTGTCACAGTAATGAAAACATAAAATTTTTGAATTTTATAAAAGAAATGATGGACAATGATAAATATTTAGCTTATTTCAGGAATCAGTGATTTCCATTTGTACAATATTTTCAGTGCACATTATTTTCCTTGAAAAATTTCAAAATAATTTATTTCGATTAAACACTTCTGGTGAATTTTTTATTACACAATTACAGAAACAGTTATATTAATAAAATAAATTTGTAGCACAATTACGAAAGAAAACAATTTAACATGCAATATTACAATATCCACGAAATTCGCTACATATGTTTCTAATTTTCATTTCAGTGGATTATAATTTTTTCAGCATTGCATAACAAAATGAAGTCAAGTAAATTAATTCCAATTGATATCAATTTTATCAATTAATATATGTCGGTGTATTTACAATAGCACATATTTCCACACTTATTATTGTACTAGCACAAAGTGCGTCAAACAGAAGTCTCACTAATATTTACATGCAATAAATAAAATTTACTGTTTCACACAACTTTTTATTTTGGTCACAAAAACCACGTCTAATAACTTAAATAAATATACACATGTTTACAAGATATATTACAAAACGTGGTAAGCTGTTGAAAACGTAAGACAAAACAACACATATATTTATATTTATTGATAAATATTACACACAAATGCAAGATTTATTCAATGATAATACTTTTGGAACTTTTCATCACTTAGTATAAAATATGAACTCCAAACAAATGAATATGGTGAATATGAATACGTCATATATGAGGATATAACGATACGTATGAGGCGTTTCGTTTCAAATCCAAATCAAATCATTTTTACAGAAACAAACTTTTCCATGATTTTGTAAATTGCTTAAGGTGAAAAACACCTGAATTCAACTATATACTTTTCCTAAAATATGTTAAAAAATTATATAAAAAAAAGTCCAAAAGATGTCTTGGTAATTTTTAATTATTGTGAAAAAAAAGTGACGAAAAAAAAATACTTATGTAAAATTTTTTTTTTATTCAATTAGAAAATATTTTAGATAACGTGAGTTTTCTTTTTTTCGAAAGCGAACAAATTAAAATTTGTTTGTTAATAAACTCTGTAAAGTATGTTTTAAGTTTACATTCAGTTATATATTTTTCTTAAAATATGCTAAGAAAACCAAATAAAAAAAAACCGAAAAGATATTTCATAATTGTTAAAAGTTTTGAAATAAAAACGAGACAAAAAAAGACTTTTTGTAAAAAAAAATATTTGGGAAAAAAATTGCATTCAATTGGAAAATATTTTAGATAATATTAATTTTTTTCGAAAAAGGACAAATTTAAACTAGTTTGTATTAAATTCAATTTTAAATTTATATTTAATTAAATTTCTTTTTAAAGATCCAATTCTTTTTAAACAATCATGGATCTCGTTCGTCCACCAAAAATGTAACAAAAACATATTCAAAGTACATGGATAAAGATTTTTTTCTTTCATTTCTTTATTAAATTTCTAAAACTGGTTTGAGCTATGCTTGAAACCAAACGTCGCATAAGTTGTTCATGAAAGTCAGATATATTTCAGTAGAAAGCTTTTTACCATTACTTTCAACTCCTAAAAGCAATATAGTGAATAATGCATAATTGCAGCATTGAACATAATTTGAATATATTAAATTTTTTAAGATATGTTTTTAGTTATTAACACTGTGAACAAGACTTTCAAGAATCTAGTTTTTATTCATGAAATCACTTCTTTTGTTCAACTGTTTCTGCTAAAATAATGAAAGCCATTGAGTTATTAATGAACCAACAAATCAATTTTCACAAAATGTTCCAGAAAAATTTCTACCATTTAATTATTTTCCAAAAAAGTAGAAAATTCAGAAAACCCATTTTGTAACTAAATATATTAATAGTGTTTGTTATACTTAGTAAAAATTCACAAGAATATTTTTAAAGAGCTTTTAATCATGTTAATAGTGTTATGTTATATTCAAGAAATGCTTATTATAAGCGTATTAAAAATCACTTATTAACTCGCCAATTTAGTATTCTATAAGGCGAGTTTAACTATTGACATTTTTTCAAAAGGAATTTTTGAAGTTATCAAGTTATTTAATGTATACAAAGATTTTATAAAGCAATATGTAGTAATAAAAAGCTATTGGATCTGTTTTAGATATGTGTTATATGAAAGCTAATATTTAAATTCTGTATTAGATATTTATTTTTTATAAAAGACACTTAAAGTTTAGATACGAAAATTCTATCAGAAAACCTTCAGTTCTAATTTTAAAGCTTAAGCAGATAATTATTTTAGTTTTCAAAAGTGGAAAATGTATAAAACCGTGTAAACGCTTTTCACATTCTAAAGTTCGTCAACAATATATACAAACTAATGCTTTTTCTTAAATTATGTTTTAGAGAAGACTTGAGTAAATGTATTTGAAATACACTTTTTCACTAATTAGATCTTATATCCTTGTTGAAAAAAATAGTAATAACTGAAGTAATAAATCAATTCATTTTAAAAATTAAAATACAATAAAATTAATCATTGTTTATTATAATTACCATACCTTCATATAAGGATAAATTTTGTGTAATTTCAACTTCACTTTCGGTATTCGATCGTAAGGCTAAAATTATGCACCAATTTTATTTTACATTAATATATGTTTTATATAAATTCTGTTAAACTTAATTAATATTAAATGACAAAAAATTAGAATGGTGCAATTCATTTACTAAAGCCTCATGCTTTTATGACATAAAAGCATGTTTTTTAATGGTGTAAAAAAGATTCTAACTGAACTCTATATCATCACGGGGTATCAAAATTAATTGTATAAGAGCCAAAACAATAATTCAGCTTTAAATTGTAACTTATACCGAAGAAAAATAATTAATACAGCTCAACTAAACAGCCAAAGGCTCACGTTTTTATGACTTAAAAAGCATGAGCATATGAAGTTTTTTTTAACGGTACTGAATTCTATATCATCTTATTATCACTATGTATAAAACTTAATTGTATAATTGCCTAAACAATCATTGAGCATTAAACTGTAACTTATGTCGAAGAAACACAATTAATAAGGTGCAACTCAATATCCAAAGGCTCATGGTTTTATGACATAAAAGCACGGACATGTGTATGTTTTTTTCATGGCATGAAAATAATCTTACTCAATTCTATATCATCACGTGTATCAAAGTTAATCATATAAGAGCTATACATTCATTCTGCATTAGACCGTAACTTGTGTCGAAGAAAAAACAATACATAGGGTGCAATTTAATTACCAAAGGCTCACGCTTTTATGACCTAAGAACATGAGCATATGTATTTTTAACAGCATAAAAATATTCTAACTGAATTCTATATCATCACGGTGTATCAAAATTAATCATATAAGAGCCAAAACAATCATTCAGCATTAAGCTGTAACTCATGACGAAGACAAGCATCTTCTACTGTATTTTTTAAGAGCACACACATTGCCTTTAAGAAAATACATCATATAAATAATACATATGTCACATGAAATAATGTACAGGCATCGATGCGATCTACCATATTATGAAAACAAAAGATCTTTAGATCTTTCAATGAGATTTCCAAAAAGAAAAAAAACATCAACAAAAAGATAAAAAACCTTGTTCTACTAATCACTCTTAGGATGTTTAAACAAAGTGCTAAATGATGAAAAAGAATTTTATCATAATATTAATTATTAAGAAATATTTAAACTTATAAATAATTAAACTAACGTAATTTTATAAGGATAATGTAAAATTCATTTGTAATAAAAACTATTTCGTTCCAATTGAAAAATAAGTTGAATAAAATAATATTCTTTTGAATTAACTGGTTAGCTGTCATAACTGCATATTAAAGCAAGTGGATAAAGACGTTTTGAAAAGCTTCAGAAAAAAATTTTTTTTTTTGAAAAGTTATTTAAAAAGAACATAGATATGAGCATAAAATAATACAACATTAATAATACATCCTAAGAGAGAGCTTGAATAAGATTTTTTTTTAAATACTCAAATGATGTCAGAGTTCCAACAAATGGGAATGTTTGAAAAGACATTAAAGACTGTTTAAATGTCTTCAACTAGATGTATGAGAGTTTCCTTGCGCCAGGTCTGTATACAGATCTGATTGCAGAAACCTGACGTAGGCGTCCTGTTCCATCAAACCCTGTATCCGCCTTTGAGCGCAATCGAAAGACTGCCTATCTGGGTTTTGGAGGTGGGATTGAATGTCGATGCGAATAGAAGAATCCAGGTTTACCTACAAGGAAAAAAAATTATTTTATTTTCGCCAAGTCAATTTAATTTGATAAGAGAAAGCTTTCAAAATTTTCAATATGTTACAGTTAAAAATATTTTTACAAAATTCTTCAAAAAGCTTTTAAAATGCGTATAAAGCTCCATACCTGTGGCGTCATGTGCGGGATATTTCATAAAACGTTATTAAATTAGCTAAAACAACTCTAACTTTTGTCAACAAAAAAAATTACTTCGAATCTAACATTTGCATCAAATTAACATCATAATACACCACGTAATTGTGTTCTAAAATATTTAGCACAATTTACTAACAGTAAAAATAATGTGCAACTTAGAAAGTTTCCATATATGATTTTGTTCTAATGGAATTAAGGTAAGGAAAGAAAAAAAAATATTTAAAAGCAAACGATTTTTTATAATAAATGGCGGATTTCGTTTTAGAATTTTTTATAAGTTATAAAAAACTAATTTAATAAAATAAAATATAACAAGATCTTTTTGGAGTAACAAATTACTATATATAAAATATTTTTAAGTTATACAAAATTTAGAAACTAATTTTAGCTATGTTAGCAAAACCTATGAATGCAAAGACTGTAGAATAATGTGTTACTAAAAAATATCTACAAATTGTTTTGTTTGTTTTTGTTTCGCGTATTACTTCATGCAATAGAATAAACTTATGGAAAGAAAAGAATATTTAAAAGCAAACGATTTTTTATAATAAATGACGTATTTCCCTTTATAATTTTTTAAAAGTTAACTAAAAATAATTTAATAAAATAAAATATAACAACACGTTTTTGGAGTCTATTATAGACGTTTATTGCATAGAAATATTTTATAAGTTACACAAAATTTAAAAACTAATTTTAGCTTTGTTAGCAAACCTATGAATTCAAAGATTTTATATTACTTTAATATACGAAGCAAGATTTTTAAGTTGTATTGTATCATTAAGTAAAACTAATAATAAGCAAATTTAAATTTTAATTAATTAAATTCAACAAATTGAAAAGCGCATGCTTTAAATTTATGCTTACTTCTTTTGGAGCAGAAACAGCTAGGTAATCATCATAAATTTTCTTAGCTTTTGACGCTAATTTGTTTACTCTACAGCGTTTGTAATCTTCACAAGCCAACCAAAAGTCTATATTTTCATCACTAAACTCACGTGAAAGAAATGCTCGAAACAAGGACAACCCATCTAGAGAGGAAAAAAAAAAAGAAATTTTAAACAAAGTCTAAGACAAAAGTATTTAACAAGGAAGGACTATTTGCTTTTGTTTATTAACATGCATTTAAATATATAGGTAATTGAAATTTCATTTTATTTAATGGAATGATATTAATAGATGTTTGTTTAGTCCCGCAGTGGACTGATCGTAAAGACACGGTTCAAAGTAGAACACTGAAGTCAAGCCTCACAGGCTGCAAACAGTAAGCGAGTGGAAGACCACCTTGATCAGCCTGCGTAGGAACCAAGGGTGTGCGGCATCGGTCCTCGTTAAACTGATCTACCGTAAAGTGCTCGACTTCGCGCGCAGGTCGTCGGGTTACCAAAGTATGGGAGTCATCCCTTATGCATAGGATCAAAATTGCGATGGCATATCTTCGAATCATCCTCAGGGAAGTTTCCTAGACAGTTGCCAATAGCCCATTGTGCAACAGCAGTGTGACGTAAATCAAGTACCTGCCTACCTAGATGTTAGTTTAATTTAGCAAAATGTGAAATGATTTTTAATGAATGATTTTAATCCGAGCATTTCTTAGAGATTTTTAATCTAGATTTTCTTTTCGCCAAATCCGGTGAGAAAAGTAAAATTATTTTACAATTAACTATATGTTGTTTATAAAATGGGTGATAAATTGAATGTGGAAATAATAATTAACTCAATTCTGAAAATGGTATAGTTCGACTAAAGTTGGAGTTTTAATTTTTTTTTCTAATAAATAAAGCACACTTTTTTTTCTTCAAAATTTGATATTTTCAAAATGAAATAATGAGTAATTTTTTTCTTCAAAACAAGTAACGTTAAAAATAATTCAAGAAAATTTTTAGAGCAACAAAGAGAAATCCCCTTCTGGTGCTTTTTGGTTGGAAAGTGACTAGTTCTTTTTGAAAAAAAAGTCAAAAGTGCTTTTGAGCAAAATTAAGGTAAATATTGTCTAGAGAGCAATCAAACATATCCTATCTCTACCGTAAAGTATTAAATTTCGAAAAACAAAAAAATTCACTAGAAGTAAATCTGTAACTGAATTTTTATATTTAGTTAATTGATAATTTATTGATTCTTAGTTTCATTTCGAAGAATGAGGAATAATTTTAAATGAAGGCTAGTCAGACATTTTTTGCAGATTTTAGTCTAGATATTTCTAATTTTCACCAAATCAGGCTAAAATAGGAAAATTATTTTGTTAAGTAACTATCAGTCATTTCTGGGATCGGTGATAAATTTAGCTGTTGAAATGTCTACAAACTCAATTCTTGAAATAATCATAATTAGATTAAAGTTTTAAATTAAAAAATAATGAAGAAAAATGTTCGAGCAACTTATAGAAACTCTTTTCAGGTGCTTTTTGGAATTCTTGAAATAATCATAATTGGATTAAAGTTTTAAATTAAAAAATAATAAAGAAATATGTTCGAGTAACTTATAAAAGTCTTTTCTGGTGCTTTTTGGAATTCTTGAAATAATCATAATTGGATCAAAGTTTCAAATTAAAAAATAATAAAGAACTATGTTCGAGCAACTTACAGAAACTCTTTTCTGGTGCTTTTTGGAATGCTTGAAATAATCATAATTGGATTAAAGTTTTAAATTAAAAAATAATAAAGAAATATGTTCGAGTAACTTATAAAAGTATTTTCTGGTGCTTTTTGGAATTCTTGAAATAATCATAATTGGATTAAAGTTTCAAATTGAAAAATAATAAAGAACTATGTTCGAGCAACTTATAGAAACTCTTTTCTGGTGCTTTTTGGAATTCTTGAAATAATCATAATTGGATTTAAGTTTTAAATTAAAAAAATAATAAAAGAAAATTATTCGAGCAACTTATAGAAACTCTTTTCTGGTGCGTTTTGGAAAGAAACTTTTTTGTAAATGGGAGATGCGTTTGAGCGAATACAATGTAAACAGTGATTTGAGAGCAGCCAAATATATCCTGTCGATACCATAAAATGTTCCATTTCGTTAAAACAAACAACAACAAAAAAATGCCCCCGGAAGCAAAGAACAGCGTATAAAAAGAAATATAAACCATTCCTTACATTTGCTGTTTGTCAATTCTTGAAAGGATTCTGCCCATTTGTGCGCTTCCTCAGGTGTTGGTCTGACAGATGGTTGAAGCGAGCTATCTGTGTGCCTCCTACGCAGGAAACTTAAGCGCATCTTCATGTCTTGGGCCCTGCAGAAACAAAACAGTTTTCTGGTTAGAAAATACAAAGAAGATAACAACTCAAAGATAAAAAAGCGACAGAAAAAACAGCAGTACAGAGGAAAAAAAAATAGCCAAAACTACCATGTTTCTAACTCTATGGGAACACGAAAGAGCTCGGTAATTTTTAATGATCGCTTTGGAAATGATTTTGGGGAAATTAACAATAAAATATGGTTTTATGATAAGTGATAAAATTTGGTAATTTTGTTGTGATACCTTAGTGCATGGAATAAAAACAATTTGTTCGGTACATATATTCTGCGTATAGAAAAAAAAAACCATTTATTACGTATAAAAGAATAAATTGTTTTTATTTCGTTAAATTTACTTTTCAGTTTTGTATTTCTTACTAAATGTGTGGTAATAAAAATTATAATTTTCAAAACCAGAATTTCCGGTCAACGTTTATAAGTTAAACGGAGAAAAAAAAATTAACAAATGACGGGTTTAAATTCTAATTTAGTAATATGGGAATAATTTTTTAAGATAAAAAAAAGAAAAAAAAATGAAAGCACTTTTTAAATATAAGGAAGAAAATTTTTAGTAAAATTAATAAGTATTTGTTCGTTATTTGTATTTTTAAAACGTTTAAGAAATCGTTATTTAGAAATAAGTTTAGCCAATACCAAATATAAAAATTAGTTTGGACATACAAAATTGTTTTTCGAGCGAAATAAATCATATTAATGTTTGATATAATTTCACACAATGCAACTGGCATGTCCTTGGTCATGAAAAGATAATACGTAAAAATTGTCACTATAAAAAATTGCTAACTTAAAATGTCTCAAATTACTTACAGTGTTTTTCTGTTCTTTTTTTGCTTTTCGTCTCCATCGTCGCGGCAACACGGAGCCGAATCTGCAGATTTGGTTTTCGTAACGGGCTGTAAAGAAAAGAAAAAAGAAACATTAATTTATGAAACATGTTGTTACACGTAAATAAATATTAATTACACTGCTACATAAGCTTAGGACCATATAATTATAAAAAAGAAGGTCGTAAGATTTAGTAAAAAATGACCGTGACAAATTACCCGTGAAAGAGGAAGTACACAAGTTAAAAAATTCATGAGACAAAAAATTAAATTAAAATGTATGATATTATGCAATATTTATTATTTATTATGTAATATTTATTATTAAATAAATTTATTATAACATTAAATGCACCTTAAGAGTTTAGAGGTAATATTAGCTGTAATCAACAAACTTTTGAAACTTAACAATTTTTTGAAAAATGTGTTAAGTTTCAAAAATAAATTTTCATAAATATCTTATAATATTTTATTCCTTATCAATATTTTACAAGAAAAAAACATCAATATAAAAAAGAAAGAATACGCAACATTTTGTTTAATAGTGTAGTTTTAGAAGTCGACGGCCTTACAACATTTAAGAGACAAAAGATTTCAGTAATGTTTACCATTTACTATTGATTAGTATTTTATGATTTTTATTATTATATAATTATTTATTATAATGTAAATAGTAATAGTTTAGGTAATTTTTATAATCGCTAATTTTGAAATACAAACAAGTATTATAAAAAAAATCTGTTACGATTCGTGCGATGCAAATATACTGATTAGATATTATAAATAATTATAAAAGGTTTCATTAATCATTTCAAAAATATTTTAAAATTTTTTTTATTAATTCAAATGAATTAAAAGCAACTAATTGATTCCTATTTCATTTTTAATCAATTAACAAAACTTCTATTAATATGCAAATGTGAAAATATTAATTCCGTTTTCTAGCTACAGAATTATTCGATACTACATGAAAAAAAAGTCAAACAAAAAACGTGATCTCACAAAAACTAATGCTATAGATGCTTAAAAATAAAAAAGCATAAAAAGTAAAAGTAATAATAACCAACTTATATAAATAATGAAGCTTTTGAAAAGGTAGAAAAGTTTAGGCTAATAAGTTTTAAAGCTTATCTTTTTTAACGCACAAGCCATAATTCAAAATTATTGATCTAAAATTAATTTAGAAGATGAGATTTCTTTTAATTTTCCATGCTCGGAATTCTTTGAAAAGGTATTAAAAAGTATTTTTTGCATTCTTTGATGTTCTTAGAAAAAAAAGAATTATGTTAGAGAAAAAAGAATAATGTTCTTAGAATTATAAGAGGCTTAGTAATAAAACACGAATGATTATTCAAATTTTTTTATGGATTATTTATCAATTATATTTCAACAATGTTACCCTTAAACACACTTTCAAAGAATTTGTGACAAGATATTAAATCTATTCAACATAATTGTAATGAGTTTTATTGAGTTCAATAAAAACAGGCTGACCTAATTTTTGTAATTAAGAATAATAAACTCCATTAAAAAAATGACTTTGATTATCATTTTTACAAGAAATTTTTTCTATTTCATTTATACATAAATAGAAAAATAAATTTAGTCTTTTTTTATTAATAGTGTTTCTGTCATAATCGCACAAATTACTAATCTATAACTTTCAGGTGCAAAAAAACTGACTATGTAACTAAGTCGGTAAATAAAGATAAAAGTTGATAAAAAGTTTTATGACAAACTCATGCCTATATGTAGAGTATTACGATAACTGATGCATATATGTAATGCAATACGATAACTAATGCACTTGTGTAGGATGGATATGTGTAACGTGTGTAGTTCAAAACATTTCCTATTCTATAAAAAATACCCACTAGACACAACCAATCGACAAATACCTAACAAACTTTACCTGATTAAAAACTTCCTAAAAGAAAAAAAGAATTTTTCCAATTTTTGTTGGCAATTTCTTGGAAAAGGGAAATTTTTTTTCGTTTTTCGTTAACAACTTTTCGTTTTATATTTCAAATCACTTTTTCTTCTTCTCATTCACGCCTGTCAAGTCTTGAAAATGGGCGCCTGTTTCTGATCACTCGAAACATGTCAATTGTTATATCCTATTAATATATTTGAAAAGCGAACTAAGTTTTTTAACAGGTAATAATCTCACCACTTCAGTTTCTTGGGAATATTTATTTAACCTAACAATCCTATTTTCGGGCCGGGTTAGCCTGGTCGGTAAGGCGCTGGGCCCATGTTCGAGAGTTCGTGGGTTTGAACCCCGCCGGCCGAAGACTCCCCGTGTAGTAAAGTGACTGATGCACGTTAAATCTGTCGAGTTGCAAAAGTCCTCCATGTTCCCATAACAAATCAAAACCTCTGGGGGTACTGAATTGGAGATCGATCGTTCTCTGATTCAGGTCAAAATTACGATCTGTGGATGAATAAATGGATGTATGAATGGGTCCGCCTTACAAAGGGTGCTACGTATGGTGTGGCAGAAGTCGAATTCTTGGCCATAGATGGCGCCACTAGAAAACAAGAACATTCGCACCTGCCTAAACAGGCATACGTCAACAATCTTATTTTCAAATATTCTGAAATTGTTTAAAAATCTCGAAAAGCGACATGACCAATTGGATTATATGGGATTTTATCCACTTGAATGCTGAAGTCATAAAAAATACAGCTTTATAAATATAATAGGACTTAGTTCAATTTGGATATATAATTATTTATACATAAGAAAGATGCGATGAAAAATTGTATCGAATTAAAGCGTGTTATATATGCTATTAGAAACGATAAATAAAGAAGGAAATACATTCGATAACAAAAAAGGACTTTTCCCCGCAGTATTGATCTCTTCCATTCTATTTTGGAAACGGGAAGAAAAAGAAGAAAAGAAAACGATAATTTCCGTTCTATAGCGCTTCCCTACAGAACTTCCTCATAAATAATTTATTGTTTTTGTGACAATACGAATCACCATGGGATAAGACAATAGATAAGTCAGACTTGTTTACTGATGGAAGTATAAAGAGTACACAGGCTGAAATAAAATTAATCGCAACGTATGATTTATGTATGTACACAATTACATTTAATGGGGGATTGATTGTAAACAAAAACTTAATATGTTTCACAAAAAGCCTATCTTTTGCAGTGACAATAAAAAGGAAAAACAATTTATTTATTTAGAACCCGAATAACAATATTTATATCGAATAATTTTTATTTATTTATTTATTTATTTTTTTAAATATTATTTTTTTTGTTGTTTTCTAAGTTTCTTATAAAATTGTATGCATAAAATTAATTTTATTTGTTCTGTGAATATAGAAAAATTAGCAACTATTTTTTTTTTAAAAGAACATTTTGTAAGTTTCTTATAAATTTGTAAACTATGAAGAAACTGCTTCAACTATAAGATTTTAGCCGAAAGAATTTTATTTCATAAATATCTTCATCTTCTAAAATGACCTTTTTTAAGCTAATTAAATAAATAAAATGCTAGAATGTGTTTTTAAAATATAATATTTTATAAAAGTTATTAGCTATTTCATCAAGAGCTGTTTAATTACCATAGGGAAGTTTTATGACGTTTAGTAAGTTTTTAAAAGTTGCTTATGTACAATTTTTACAAATCGTCAACGTAAGCGAAACTATCTTTGTAAAATAAGCGTGTTATAATTATCAACAAATGAAGTTCTTCCGGAACTAAAGAGTTCCGGAATTAAAAGCAGTTTATTAAAGGCTTCCATTGTTTCTGTAATTGTTTCTGGGGTTGTTAACCTTCCATTAACTAATTGCGGAATTGGTTGTCGTGTAACAGAACCTCTGCTTCAAACTTTCAAAAATTTCAGGGATTGCGATAGCTCTATTTTTCGCTCCAAGTAATCGTTTTATCATAGTTAATGAATTCTTTTCTACCAACAAAATTAACTTATCTAATTCGTAAATTAAATAATTAACTGACGGAATTGTTAAACATTTAGTTCTAGAAGAGAATTCAATTCCTCCTTGGATGAGGTCATTGACTTCTATTATGTGTTTGAGTTAATAACATTCTTAGAATTAAAATTCTCATTTATGACAATTCAAACAAGCCTTGAACTTGTATTCAATTTTGGCAATCATTTCGTCACGAAATTTTGTAATTTTTAACAAAACAGGAATCTCATAAATATGTAATGAAAATGCCTTCGAACTCGTGTGTCATATCAGTGCATTTTGGCAGTTTTAAAATGCCTTTGGGGCCGTTCAAAAAGTACGTACACAAAAATGGAGAAATTTTAAACCCCTCCCCCCCCTTCCGACATTANTTAACTATAAATTTTAAAATTGTTTGCTCTGTATGAAGGGATGGTACAGGAGTCAGCGCTAGTCAAGCTGTTTTTCTGCTTCGTTCTTGTTTACGGTTGAGAACTCGTTCAAATACAATCATTTTATGTAGTTTTCCTAAATCAATTGTGTTAACCGATATGTTGCATTAATCTGAATGCTTTTGGCAAATATCGTATCCTCAAACAAGTGAAGATAGTAGTTTTCACAATTTGACGAAATATCTGCTTGGGGCATTGCCCAGAAAACTATTTCGCCATTAACGAAGATAATTCCGTGAATTTTGAGCTCTTATTTATTACAGTGATCTTATTTACGCGTCATGCAGTTAAAGTACGTCATCATTTCCATGTATAGAATGGCAGCACAACGAAACATCTGTTTAAATGGTTTGACATTAGAAACGCGAACTTCTTTAAATACGCTTTTCTATGCACTTTGTGTGCATTCCCAAAAGAACCCAGCGGCATAGGATTTTGGATAAGAAAGAAATAAATTTGAGGAAAATGTCGTTTAACTGTCAAGAAAGGACTTCCTGCCGATAGGACTTGAGAGCACTGGGCTACTTATTAAATCTATGATCATAAAGTGGGCGGATTTGAAATATGGAAGAAGATTCAATTGTGTGGATAAAGACGTCATACTTTAAAATTCTGAGAAAAATACGAAAAGAAGAAAATAATTATTTCGGAATTGATTTTATTAAAAGGTTTTATATGCAATGT